ATAAGGCTTTCCTGTTTCATCTTCCCCAACAACCCCTCACCTGGTGCTCTCTGCAGACAAGCCCCAAGTGCCTCACCATGGAGCTGCCAGCCCTCCCTCCTTCCCTGTGTCACTGCCCAGCTTCTCTTGGGGCTTACAGACCCCAGGACTTGGCTCCAAAAGGGCTTTTGGTGTATTCAGGAGGGGTTTATGTCCATGTCCCCAGGCAGGAAAATTTTGCCACACTGAGTTTAAAATGTTTGTAGCCCTCAGAGGTGCCCAGAGGCAGAATCACAGAACTATGGGATGGTTTGTGTTGGAAGGGATCTTAAAACTCATCCTATCCCACCCCCTGCCATGGCAGGGACACCTTCCACCGTCCCAGGGTGCTCCAAGCCCTGTCCAGCCTGGCCTTGGGCACTGCCAGGGATCCAGGGGCAGCCCCAGCTGCTCTGGGCACCCTGTGCCAGGGCCTGCCCACCCTCACAGGGAAGAATTCCCCTTCTGTATATCCAAACTAATTTTCCCCTCTGTCAGGCTGAACAGGATTTCAGTTTCAGTTTGACTTCTTCAGGTTTTGTGGAATTCTTTCAAGTTGCCAAAATCAATTTAATAAACTGAACTGCATTAATACCATTCATCTGGCTGGTCAGAAATTCTTATCAAAATTCTGATCTCCAGTGATGACAGTAACCAGCTTCACAGCTAAAATAAAATTACAAGGGGGCTGTTGGGGGGGAGTTGTGTCTTTTTTAGGAGATTTTTTTTGTTGTTGGTTTGGGGAGGTTTTTTGGTAGAAGAAAAATAAATTCACAGCCGTTAATATATGGGACACAGAGTTAAATTCACCTGGAAAATGTCGGTCTTACCTGTTAGAGGTGGGATGAACAAAGGGTCAGGTCACCTTCTTTGTTGAACAGGAAGATTTTTGTTTGTTTTAAAGCCTTTCAGAAACACAACTGCTATTTACTGTGGTCTTGCAGCCAAACTGCCACAAGGGCTTTTAGTGCCAGCCTGAGCAGGATGTGCACAGAAAAAAGCCCAGTGTGATCTAATCACTAAGAGCCTGGACAAGATGGTTTTCAGTCTGCACCAAACACTACTTGATTTTATTTGACCATTTTCCACAAACCAAATCAATAACTCGGAGCAGAGAAATCAATCCATGCACAAAACTTTTTCAGTCATTGTGCTGAAGGAAGGGAATGCACAGGAAAAAGCTTTTTCCATATCAGAGCAAGGGCTGGAGCACACAGCAAGGGCAAACCATGTGTGAAGGGTCAGTGCCCTTCCCAAATACAACAAAACTTCTCAGCACAACCCCCTTTCAAGGGATAGGGTGACAGAAAAGCCTCAATGCCACCTCCTCCAATTTATTTGTGGGAGCTCTGTACCACATTAAAAATATTGAGACATGCTAGGGTGGTTGTGTTCTTTGGTCAGGCACCTCCTCCTCTCCAACTTCCTCTCATTTATTTAATTTCACAGGCCATTTGATTCTTCCATTTTCATTTTCGTGTTTGTTTTCTTTTAATTAAAAAAAAAAGCTTTGTTTTTTAATGCATTTTAGGCTTTTTAAGAAATGAAGTTGTTGAAGCTGTTCTTTGTTATCTGCACAATTTCTGATAGAAAAATAGAAAGCTTTCCAGATGAGTATTACTGGCATATAAATTAAAACAAAAGAAAAAAAGTGTCTATTGTGAGAGCTAGGAGACAGCCTGTTCCCTCTGTGGGACTGACCTTGATGGATTTGCAGCAAGTTGACTGTTTGCCAATAAATTTCACTTTCTGGGAGAAAAAGGAAGCTGCTTCACCTGAGATCTTGGTTGGCATCATTATGATGCTGACAAAGAATTGCTCCAACAGTTCTTTGGACCTTAAAAATTTCAGATTTTGGGCAAATCCTCTTTGCTCACCATGAGGCACCACCCAGGAGGCAGTGGGTGCTGAACATGTTGAAAATGAAGTAGAAATCTGCAATAACAGCCCAGCTGTGCCTGGCAAACCTGTAGGACACTCCGGGTAACACATCCACTACCCATCATTTTCTTACCAAACACATCCTTCCCCATCTCAAACATCTCACAGCTGGCTCCAGGAGGAAAAGAGGCAGCAAAAACACACTTTGAAACACTTTTTCCAACACTGACAAGCATTCAGGTTTATTTCCTGCAGTATAGAAAGCTGTCAATCCTCACCACAAAAATGTGTCTTTCAACAAATTTTGCTCATCTCAGGAAAGTCCAGGCTTCCCCTGGGGAAAGCCACCTTATTTATAGCATTTAACCTTCATTATCCCTGTCCTGCTGTTCACTTGGGAGGTGTTCACCTGACCATCAGATCCTTCCTGCAGCCACACAGACTCTAATGCACAGCACAAACAGCAAGTCATGTCTGCACAGAGCAGAGGAACCACCTCAAACGAAAAATTCATTCATATTTTTAACATCACTGATAGGTTTCTCCTCAAGCCAGGTTTCTCCTCCAGCCAGAACCTATCACACCCGAAATAGTCCAGCTACCCCAAATGGCATAAAATCAGCAGGATGGCTTCTGTGGTAGTGTTGGAAACAGAAAAAGGTTTAATAAAAGGCAAAATAACAAAACTCTTACAGAGAAAAACTGAGCCAGGGGCAAGAGGTTCTTGTCCCTGGTAAAACTCCCCCCCAAAAGCAATTAGTTTCTTTGTTCTTTTATTTTTCTAGTGAATTACCCAGGTGAGACCTCTTGGGCTCTGTCCAATGGGCAGCCCCAGGTCTGAGGTGAAGTCCCAAAGGTCCTATGAGGTGTCTTTGTATCAAATTGGGGGACAAACTTCTGGGTTTTTTACCTTTTTAAGCAGACAAAATAATTTAGTCTCCTCATCAACAGGGGGCACATTGCTACACATCCCTACATGCCAAGTCATAGCTATCAGTCATCCATCAGCAAATGATTTACCAATCATTCATTCAGCAAACTCTTCTGCTAGGACACTCTGTCCTCAATTTCAGACATCCTTAACTCCCAGCATTCTCTGCATATATGGAACAGTTCTCCTTTCCAGGATTTTACCTTGAAACCCCCCCACCCCGTGGATCTGTATCTTCGCCATGAAGTGGTTGCTAAATGCAGCAAATTTCCTTTATAAATGCCTGGCTGGAAGTCAAGGGTTCCTAAAGCCCTGGCATACAGCTGCAACCTGTTTGTAAAGCTTTCCCCAACAGTAGTTTTAGTTTCTTGTTACCAGACTTTGTCTTTGGCCCAGGACCATCAGACTCAGCAATTTGTTTCTTTTGTCATTGCTAAATCCTCTCCACAGGGCCCAGCTGTGGTTTATCCTCTGCTGGCACACGCAGCCCTGCACTCACCAGGGTGTTCAGCTCTGCAAAGTGCATTACCTCATGTCAGCAAGGGAAGTCCCCATATCAACCCTTTATAACTCCCCCTGCTTCCAAGGCAAACTGCTTTGTTTTCTTTTCCCTTCCAGCTTATTTGCATTAATTTGAAAGTGCAAAGTTTTGGCTTTTACAAGTGTCCAATTTGGAGGTATTTATAGCACTGGGCCTCTTACAGCTTCACAGGTTGGTGGGAAATGATCACTAAAATCTTATGGCACTGCAAACTTCCCTTAGGAACTCGAGCACCTTTTTAGGGGCCCTTTCAGCTTATTAAATTCTGTCTATTCATAAGCCTTGCTCAAGACTTTTTTGCTTCTGCTGCTTTGAATTTCCTCAGTTCTTGCGGCACAAAGTTGCTTTCTGCCAGCAATCTCCTCTGAATTTTCATTATTAATGCCACAGATGGGTCTATCCTGCAGCTCTCCCCATAATGAGATTTGTGCTACTACTCTTTAAATAAACTCCCCTGCACATAGAGGCTCAGTCTCCCCTTGCCTGCTCACCTGAAACCAAACTTGAAACATCCTCCAGTGCTGCCTGTCAGGCAGGCACTGCTCTCAGGATCCTTCACAGGTCTGCACTTTCATCTCCTGATGTCTGGGGTTGCTGCACTTCTGAAAAGGGAACAGCTTTTATTGCCAGACACCCTGAGGAAAAGCTCATTTCTGTTTGTCATTATTTCCTTCTCCAGGAGCCTGAGACTAAAGCAGCAGGTGATTACCCACTCCTGGTGACCAACCCACACGGAGATCAGGATTTCCCCATGGCTGGGTTTTCCTCATTACCAGCAGCTTCATTGGCTATTGATCATACCACAAATGTAAAAAAATATCATAATCCTCTTTCCTCTTCTCTTTCACCATCACATTTTCTGAAAAATCCCTTTGCCCAGGATTTTTCTCCTGGAAGGCTGAGAATCCTCCGAGAAAAAGGGAAACAATTTTATCTCATTTGCTTCTGCTGTGTTTTGCTGCTTTGGAATGTGGTCGGAGACTGTTAATCAAACATGTGAATTGTTTTTACTTATTGGCCAGTCAGGGCCAAGCTGTGTTGGACTCTGGGAGGAGTAATGAGTTTTTCCATTACTGTCTTTTAGCCTTCAGTCTGTATCCTTTCTGTATTCTTTAGTATAGTTAACATAACCTAACCATAACATAATATAATAGATGCGATATTACATTGGTATTATATTGCGATATCACTATATAAAATAAAATATCACTATATAAAATAAAATATCACTATATAAAATAAAATATCACTATATAAAATAAAATATCACTATATAAAATAATAAATTAGTCTTCTAAGAACATGGAGACAGATTCATCATTCCTCCCCTCACTGGGGGTCTCAGAAAATACCACACTCCTCCCTACCCTCCCCAGACCACATGGCATCCTTGCCATCCTGCCTATTCATCAGATCCCATCCATGCAGCCCTTCAATTCCCACCCAGGCCATGGTCTGGGGCTCAGAGCACAAATCTGAGGTGGCTGCTCCATTCCACACCCCAGGCTGGCAGCACTGGAGTGAGCACACACAGAGGCAGGGGCAGCCTGGCTCATTAGCAGAGCACACAGTTGCTGGGAGCATCTCAAAGATGAAAAGAACCATTTCAAGCATCCCATCCCCTCAAAAATAAACAACAAAAAAAAGGCAGCACTACAGCTTGTCAGATGAAGTTGATTACAAATCAAGCACATTCACAGACCCAGGTCACAACATTTGGGTTCATTAGTAAGAAAACATTAAACAAGCAGTGGCATTTGCTTTTTATGGCAGCAGAGTTGAAAAACAGCTCCTGATTTTTTTGCTTTGGTACAGATCCCTGATAAAAGGGGTCTATTCATGTTCTGTCTGCTTTCAAATGATACCAAAACATATTTTGCCTTTTCTAAATCAGATTTCAAAACCTGATTATCTTAGTTTTAGCCACAGTATCAAAGCCAAGTAAATGTTTAAATAATGAACAAGAATTTACTTGGATAGCCAGCAGATTATTCTGTATTACACTCCAGCCCAGAATAGACTTCAACCTCAAAACTACTTTTTTTTTTTTTTAAATCATCCTTGAATCACAGTACCAGCAAGCAGTTCATTTAAATGTAGTAATTCTGAGAATCATTTCAGCTTTGATTACCAGGAAGACAGAAATATGGAGAGAGGTGTCAGGGTAGCAGCTTGAGGGCATGCAGTCTACAGAAACAAGAGAGAGTTCTCTGGGAAGACTTGCCATTATCCCTAAGAAAATACATTTCAACCTCCCTGGAGTCTTGTTCATCCTCCTCACATCTGTCTTAGAAGTCCAAGTTTAGAAGCAGTGCCACTGATAAATGAGATTTCCCCTATGCAGGTTCTGTTCCTCCCTGAGCAGTTATTTAAATCCAACAAAGGAGATGCTGCTCCCTGTGCCACCCCAAAATTTTAGAGCTGGGGAGGGGGAGAACAAGAGACAGACAAAAGAGATGGGATTATAGAAGCTTTCTGTGCTCACCCTAAACCATTGGCTGTATTACTTCTGGCAAAAATCTTCCCATTTAAAGGGCACTTTCCACTTTGTAACCATTTACAAAGCAATTCATTGGCTCTCAAAAAACTCCCAAAGGAAAGAAGGGATAATATAAAAAGCACAGAACATTATTTAATGGGGGGGAAAAAACCTATTTTCCTATTCCTCTCTTTTTTCAAGTCTATTTCTAAGAAATTGAAACTTTGATGTATTTAAATTCCAGTTTGCTACTCACAATGCAGCATTTACCTTTCTACTGGAATATCTTTTTCTTCTATGCTTCCAAACCCAGGTGTAACCCATGGCTGCAATGCCTCCAGCCATTTCCTTACCTTGTCTGAAGGACATTCTGGGGAGCTGCTGTCATTTCTTATGGAAATGAGAAACCAACTCCCTCTACACCAAGTAAAAGGGGGGAAAGAGGGAGAAAGGGGAAATCCAGGAGTGGGACAGCACAGCTTGCAATAGATTAGCACAGGAGTTCCTGCCTGAGTTCAGAAATTTTTTTTCAAGTCATAAATGATTAATTCTATATTTATTTCTTTTTTTTGTGTGTTGGAAATTCCTTCTCCAGCACCATTCAGGAGTTGGTTCCCTCCAAGAGGGATGTTCTCCATCATTTAGCTGTATCCACCACTTGTGAGGGAGAAGAAAAAAGTGCTGGCACAAAGATAAAAACCCATGCCCAGGATAAAAAAACCTCTTTCTGCTGCAAACTGGACTGAGACACCAAACCTTTTACCCAAATTCAAACCTTCCACTACTCTGCCAGTCTTGGAGAAGCTCACCTTAATAACCCAGAGAGAGAAATTTTGACCAACAAATGAGACAAAACTGTCTCAAAAAACAAGAGTTGTCAGCCTGGACTAGTTGCTAATGAGCAACTGTTATGTTAAATTTTGAAAAGCTACTTCATTCATAAAGAGATTCCTTCCAGTACAACGTTTGAGGATTTCTTTTAAAATTAAACACCAGAAAATTTAAAATCTCTTGTTGGCAAACACACCTGGGGATCCATTTGAGGATCCATGCCTTGGTAGGGAAGGAAAGGAGGTTTCTTGCCCTCCATCCCCAGCCTTGAACTGCAATTGCCTACCTGGGAACTTTACACCTTTCCTGGAAGATGCCCTTTCAATAATCCTCAGTATAACAGAAGGGGCCCACAGGTAATTAACTCAGACTTTTCACAGCCTGGAAGCTAGACAGGTTTGTCAAAATGATTTTTATTCTTATGGTTTATTATCTTGTTGTGAAGATTTTTATGAGAAAAAGATTAAATCACCACCCTGATGTGTGCATTTCATTAAGCCTCTAATCCTTAAAGAGTCACTAACGCAGCTCTCCATTGAAAAGCACTAAATCATCATTCAGTCATATTGACCAAAATAATCTCCTAATTATTTCAGAGAGGAACTGAGCACCAGAGATGTGCTGTAAATGACACCTCACAATGCACAAAACCAAAGGGATAGAAAGGTAGCTTTGATTACTTTTGCTCTGTATGAATAATGGAACATAAGAAATGTATCTCTACTGAGCAACTGACTCAGAGTAAGGTGGGATTTCAGGTGGTTCAGGATTTGGATGGGGTGTGGACAAATCTCAGCTGCAGCAAATCAGCCCCTGCCACCACAGCATCAAGAAAATCACAATGAGCAATGAATTCCAGGTGAGGAACATTTAGCAAATTCAACCAACTCCTGAAGAAAACACCCCAAAAGCACAGCAGTTTGTAGTAAAAATAAATTGCCACCCACACAGCTGATAATGGAGCTTGCATTTGTTGGAGGTGGGTTTAGTTTTTTCTCTTGTTTTGCTGCCATAAGTGTGACTGGGAGCACATGTGAAGGGCAACATTAAGAGGTTGGGCTTTATAATCTTGGATGTCATTTCCAACCTTCCTGATTTCTCAGGGTTGGAGCTCACTGCTGACTTCATCCCTTTCTCCCCCCCCTTTGGGTGGGCACAGAGGAGAGCTGCTGCCACCAGCAGAGCCCCAGACACACAAACACCATTTTTCCCTCTTCCTATACCAGGTGATGGTTTCCACAGCATCCCAAAGGCTTTTCCTGCCAGGGTCATGCACTCACACATTTCCTGAGCACTCCAGAACAGGGAGCAGCTATCACAATCCAGTAAGGAAAGCCATGACTGATACAGCTTTGTATGCCATGTTAAATTTATCACACCCTCTGTGACTGTAGCCATAAATCTTTCAGGAAGAGCTTGCTTCTAAAGCTTGATTTTGAGTATAATATTTGCAATTTAAACACCCAACGGACCAATAATAATTCACTGTCAACCTTTATAAACCCTTTGGAATAACTTGCATTCTCATTACTAGAAAGATCATCAGAAATGAAGGAAAAAAACAGCAAGCAGGCTTAGAAGGAAGAAGAAATCCCTCAAGTCAAAACATGAGTTCAAAGGATAACATCGATATTTTTGTATTTTTTTTTACCAACTCTCTGTTTTATCATGACTAACAAGGCTCAGAATCACCTTCCCAACAACACAGACATGGTAGGATTTGTGGTGAGGCACAGCTTTCAGGAAGATGCACCTAGATCCCCTGGGAGGAGTGAAGCATAAAAGAAAAACAACACTTTGTCTTTGAGCAAACACTACACAGACACAAATGTAAAAGAGAGGAAACAAAGAGAGCAGCACTAAGAGGAGATTTTTGAAAGAGGCCTCTTTCCTACCACTTTTCCCCCTACACCCACGGTCTCTGCAGGTTTGCTTTTATCAGAACACCTCAGAACGGTTTGGATGGGACCTTAAAGATCAGCCAGTTCCAACCCCCTTCCCATGAAAAATCCAGGTTAAAAAGTTTCTGTGTTGCTGCCAACCCTACACAGTCATGCCAAAGCCCTTTTTGAGCCTCATCTCAGCACATTCCTCAGCCCACCCTGTGCAGAACATCCCCTCCCTTTGTCCCAGGGGTTCCCTCTGCCCTAAGAGCAGAAAAAACCCAAACCCACCCAGCACCACCCAAGCAGGCAGGCAGGGAAGCATTCCCTGCTCCAGCTGCTCCAAACCCCCCAAATCCCCCAGAAAATGGCAGGATTTGTTCTCACTTAAGAACAGGAACTCTGTGATGATCAAAAGATGCTATTTTTAAATATATTCCTTACCTTGTTCTTTGTGCTTTAGACCCCACTGGACTGTGCTGCAGGCTGGATTTTCTCTTTAATTAACCAAGCTGACCTGGAGTAAAGTTAAATTAGACTTAATTCCCTCCCAGCACTCTTCCCTTTTGATAAAATTCAAAGTATAGAAGGGTAAATAACACCAGGTACATGCCCACAAGCCTGCACCAAAGGTAGGGAGGGCTACACAGGATCAGGAACCTTCATGGCTTTGAGGCAAACTTGCCTACAGCTCTCCCTTGGAGCAGAGCACCACAAGAAACTAAAGCAGCCTTTGAGCTGAAAGAGTTGGGTTCTAGCAGGATAGAAGTCAGACTAATTAACTTAAAATATCAAATTAAACTCAGAATTTTAAAAAAATATAGATATTTCCTCACCAGCTTTCCCTGCCCAGCCAGGTGAATCCTCCTCCCAAAGCTCCTACAATAAAATGGGGACAGTCCTCACCCCTCCCTGGGAATTTATTGTTTCCATAATTACAAACACCTGGCTCCTGCTCTCACCTGAATCCAATTCCCTCTCTGCACCCTGCAAACTGCCTGTCCCAGCCCTGCCCAGCTGGTGCCTATAATCCCACCTGGCATCTTCAAAAACACAAGACAGCAAGAGGATTGGCTTCTTTTTTATTTGTTTTTGGGTTTTTTCACAGCAATCAGAGAAACTTAGAAAAAAAAGCTTATCAATTAAGAAAAAATATGAGCCTAATTTGTCTTTTATATAATCCAATAATTTTTTAAACCACAACTGAAAGCTTCTGAGTTTCCCTACTCAGACTGGAGGCAATTAGGAGATTAACTGTAAACCACAAGAGAGTTGTGCCATGACATTACTGCAACCAGCAATCCTCAAACTGCTTTGGTTAACTGAGATTTCTGACAGAAAACATCCCAAATGCTGGGGGATAATGGACACCCTGTGAAAGGGCTGCATCCTCAAACATCATCTCACTCTAAAGGCCTCTGTGCTTAATTAACATCTCACCAGGCTTTTTTACACAGCCACATTAATTGGGACATAAATGGATAATAGAGGCCACTGCTTCTGTCTACAAAGCTTTGCCCTCACTCACAGAATTTCCCTTTTTATTCACACAGACCTTTCTGAAGGCACAAACCTGTGAGGTTTCCTCCTCCTTTCTCTGCTCTGGAGTCTGACTAACCAGGTGTTTGCCAGTCCTCAGATGATTCTTGGTTCTTGGCACTGTGGGGAATTTCCTGACTGTGCTTTTAATTGTATTTTGAACACAGTGGACAAACACATGATCATTTAGAAATATTATATAATATTTTATTTAACTATAATATTTTATTAATATAATATAATGTCATATAATGTAATATATAATATAATATAATTAATATACTATAATATAATATAATAATAGAGGAATAGAGAGAAAAGAGAGAGAAAGAAAGGGATAGAGCTACCAAACGTAGAGACGAAATCCTTTGGTCCAGTCCAGTCGCGGATCTGCCTGCTACAGTGAGGAGATCTCAAAATCTCCAGCTAACTCGGAGGTTTTTATTATGATAATTCTATTGAAAATTGTGAGGGGGGAAACAGATACAATAAGGACTGGATGTAACAGGTAGTCCATGTTCACAGCAGTAAGTGAGAGCCATTGTTTTCTTGGTCCAGTGGTCACAACCTGCAGGCAAACATCTCGCTTTGGTCAGCTTGCCTCCCCCACACACCTGCCCTGGGCTGGGGTTTCAGTCCCAGTCCTTGGAAGGAGCAGAGGGGCCTTTTCACGTGGGGGTTCCATGTCTCAGGCCTTGATGGAGCAGAGGGGCCTTTTCACATGGGGGTTCCATGTCTCAGGCCTTGATGGAGCAGAGGGGCCTTTTCACATGAGGGTCTCAGGCCTTGATGGAGAGGCTCCTTACATCTCAGTCTGTCTGTCACTGTGATTGTAAAACGGGTGAGGGTCTTCTGTGGGGGGACCATCCAAAACTCAGGAGAAGTCCAGCCAGGCCGAGAGGTGGGACAGCTCCCAAGGCTGTTGTTGCAAAAAGGGCACGGTGTCCCTTTCTTAGCATACAGGAAACACACCTGTGAAAACAATAATTTAGCAATGCTCTCTGATCTCAGGGCCTTGTTGGCATGTGACTTTCTCCTTCAGAGCCAGAGATTCTAGACAGGGGGTTCTTCTCTTCAGTGGTCCTCAAATGATGATTGTGAGGCAGATGAGGGAAAATTCAGACAGGCTCTCACAACCTTACACAGCCACAACAGCACCAGCTTTGCTATCTGGACTGGCCAAGCACTGCTTGTTGCTAGCCCAGGGCAAGTGTGGGAGCAGGGAATCACCTTTTCCCCATGCAAAGAGGAAAAAATGTTTTCTCATTTAGCCCAGATTTAATGTGCTTTTTGCCTCTTTGTAGCAGAAAATCCGGTTTCATAAAAGTTCAAGTTTAATATCAGCTGCAGGCCTCCAGGAGCTATTAGCTGATAATTCTCTGAGCTTTTGCCTCAGACTCCCTGACCAGCAGCACTGAAATTATCAAATCACAGCAATATGATGGAAAACCTTTGCTGCAGCAATGAATTTCTCTCAGAATGGAGCTGGACACAGTTACTTACCTTCAGTATTCACACATGTATTAGAGATCCTATCACACAAATAAAGGGCCTGAGTCTCTGCTTTTATGCTTTTAACACCAGCAGACCAACAGTCCTTAAGACTCTTAAAATTTTTAACATTTCTTAAATATAAAACTCTCATAGAAAACAGCTAAAATGCAAATATTTATGTTGGGCAGCCTGTACATTGATTTTCCAGCTGGGTGTTTGATGTAGGGAACCAGTTCTGGTTCATGCAAGGGGGTCTCCTGAACTAAAATACAAGGTAACATCATTCTCTTTTACCTTTCAGAACTGACATTACATAATGTTCTTTATCGAGAGTTTACATCAAAATAAATCCTCAGAAAAAGAAAACAAAAACCAAATGCCTCTAATGGAAAAATGAGGAAATTACTTAATTGAAGTAATTCTTTATTGGCCCCAAATTTCACATACAGACAGGTTAAATTTGGGGAGTTTTAGCAAAACAAAGGAAGAGCGTCAGTCAAAAGTGGGTTAATTGTGTAGGATGAAATCAATGCAAATACCTTTCAGTCTGAAAGCTTAAACTAAATGTTACCCCAGATTTTTCCAGCTAGTCCACCTTCAGGAATTTTCCAGGCTGAAATAATGAAGTACCAAGCCTATGTTTAGACAGAGAGGAGCAAAGGTGTAAGTTAAGCAGCAAAAGCAAGCACTCACTGCCTTCTATTCATCCTCCAAGATGTTAAAAATAAGTTTTCCCTTCTTAATTTTGAGACGTAATCCTTAGGAGGCTCTGCAAACTGTAAATCAAATTTCCAATATTATTTCTGCAGGCACTCCAGCAGCCTCTCCTGGCTCTTGCAGGGTGTTTATTAGCACTGGACCAGCTCCCTGTTTGAGGAGCACGTGGAGAGCTGATGGATCGTGTGCCAGCAGGGTTGGGAAGGGGCACTCTCAGGAGATTTGAAACCAGGCAAATATTGGAGCTGGGCTGCGGGAAGGAGCCCTGAAAATGGAAGGTGTGACTGAGAGCTGTGTGATTAGAAAATACATCCAGGGGCTAATTGCAGAGTGGGTCTGTGAGACACACACAAAGCCATTTCCCAGCCTGGTCCCACCTGAAATTGGGACTGCTGGGATGGGCAGAGCAAAATGTCCAGGGCCAGGAGACTTTCTGTGGCCGTTTTATTCTCCCTGTGGCCACTCATAGAAAGTTCCAAGTGAGGTAAATGCTTCTTTGCCCTGAATGTTCAGCATATTGGAGGGGTAAGATGTTACTATTTCTATACATTTAATTGTGCTTCCTGAATAGATTTTGCTCACTGAACAAAATTCAGATTCCTGAGTAGATTTTTGCTGCAATGCCAAGGCTTTGCTGAAATCAAGCCCCTTATAAAGTGTTGTACTGAGCAAGAGATTCACTCACACAGGAAATCCTGTATTTTCAGCAGGGAAGAGACTCTGTGTTAAGTTAAACATCCTCCTCAGAATGCTACTTTCTGAAATATGTTTTATTATGGAATGTCCTGCTTTGCAGTAACATCAGTAAATAAATATGTCTATGATACATATGGGTTTGTTTGGGATATTTTATGGGGAGGAGGGAAGAACAAAGGGCTGAATGAAGGAGAAGCTGAGAAAAGGAAAGCCAAGACTGAATCCTATTTTTCTTCTACCAGCTCTCTTATCTGGGTGCCTTTTTAGCCAGGACGGCACCAGGAGTGGAGCCTGAGCAGGGAGGGTTTCCCAAAGCAGAGACCCCTCAGCACCATCCCTCTGGAATGGCTGCTGTGGATTGGGGCACTTAAGGATGTTGCAACCCTATAATCTCAGAATCCAAGACTGGTTTGGGTGGGAAAGGATCTTAAAGTTCCTCTCATTCCAACCCCCTGCCATGAGCAGGGAACCTTCCACTAGACCAAGCTGCTCCAAGCCCCAACCTGGCCTGGAACAGAGGATGTCAAGATTTAGGTTTTATGATGGAGGCACTTCCTTCAGTGCAAAACCTGACTTTACAAGGTTATTTAATCTTTAAAAAGTGTAAAAATACCCAGTCCTGGAGGTAGATGTTGGGACTGATGTCACCCTGATTTTTTAAGATTTTCTAAGCCTTCTGATGTTTACATTCTTGTAACAAATTTTCTCACACACTTTCTGTAAATAACTCATTGTTTTACATTCTTTTATGGAGGAGGAGAAATTTGATGGACTGTTGGTTTGCCCAGTGTCATTGGAGAGGTGGCACTGTCACCCTCCAATCCACTGTCACTTTTGGAAATCTATAAATGTTGGAGTCAGAAATTAAAAATTCTCTTTTTACCTTGAGAGAGCTGTGTCTCCACATTGTGTTGTCTCAGGTCCTATAGTGACAGACTGAGGAGCTCTGCCTGCTTTTCCAGAGCTACTCATCAGCCCTTGGTGTCATGCCAGAGGTGGCATCCCTTCTGCACAAGAACATCCCCAACTCCAAATGAAGTAAATCTTTAAATTATTATAAGGAGGGTCAAA